CCCCAAAACCCCAAAACCCCTCCTTGATTTATTAGCTACTTATATAAAATGATAAAATTAAATATAAACTCGAAATTATAGGCAAAATTGATTCATCAACAAAACAGTTTAGGTTTAATGACTTAGGCAAAGTATTTTTATAGCATTAGGGCAAATTTAGTTATTCCCAAGATAATCATTAATTGCTGGTTGATGCTTTGGAAGAATAACTTCTGCTTCTTCCTCTCTTGTCATCTCTCTCGTTCGATCTCTATAGAAATTTATCATATTCCTTTGTTCATTACCTTTTTAGGATAGGAGTTGCTTCTGCCTCTTTTATCTGCTTTTTCTCTGCTATCATCTCTTCTTCTACTGCTATCTCTATCTCGAGTGGATTGCGAGTTTTTACCACCTCTGTCCCTATCTCTTCTTGGACTATCCCTATCTCTTCTGGGACTTTCCCTCCTCGGACTATCTCTGCCGCGGCCTCCACCGCCACCTCCTCTTCTGCTAATTAAAGTTTATATTAAAAATTCTAAGTATACTTTCCTCCAGACCTTGATCTTGATCTTTTCCTTGATCTGCAGTCTCTAGCAAAATGCCCTGGCTTCCCACAATTAAAACAGTTTTTATTTCCTCCTCCTCCGAAATCCCGTTCTCTGCTGTCTCTTCGGCTATTAGTAATTAAAAATGTAAACTCATACCCTCTGCCACTTCTGCCTTGACTTTTAGGATCATACTTGCCACTCTTTTTACTCCACTCTATTGCTATTTTTTAGCCACCAAGTTCTTTGTTATTCAAATCTGCTATTGCATCTTCAGCGTCTCTCTCATCTTTGAACTCAACAAAAGCATATGATCCCTTCAGTATAACTTTAGAATAATTATTACTTTAAAGTTAATTGAGCAGTCACCGAACTTGTCAAACTGGTCGTGCAGTTCGTCCTACCGCAAGCTTCGAGATATATTTCCAACGAATAAACTCATTTTATAGATTTATAATTATCCCAATTAAAAAAATATATTTTTGTAATGGGGTTTTGGGGTTTTGGGGTTTTGGGG